GCGTAGGGGGGTCCCCGGGGTGGGGGGTGCAGGAGGGCTGCCAGGGGCCGGAGGAGCCACTGCACAGCTCCGTCAGGCCCTGCGCCAGCTGCCCGGCCCCGGCTCTGCGCAGGGGACATGATCGGGTGCCGGGGTGCCAGGGGCCCTGCACCCGCCCGTCGAGCTGTCCCAGCCGGTGGGCAGGACTCCACACGGCCTGTCCTCCTCCAGCCTCCCTGCACGCCGAACCACAGCGCGGGGGAACACGGCCCACGACAGCTCCCCACCAAGGAAAGGGCCCAAGCAGAAGAGCATTACTGCCCAAGCAGTGTCAGCCTTCCCCAGCCAGCGATGCAGCAGCACAATTTTTGTTTTGTCACAGAAAAGAAAAAAAAAATATCCACTGAACAACACTACCTTCCTCCTCGAGATCGAGAATTCCTTTTCACACTGCTTGCAGTGTGTTGCCTCATCATCCTTCAGCCAGGTGTGACCCTAGGAAATTGGAATGGAAACCTCACTGTAGATACAAGTAAATTGATAAAACAAAATTCAACGGCAGTTTACCAACGTTGCTGTTATTTTTCATCTTTTAAAGTAGTGCTGAAATTTGAAGATGTTACGTGAAATGTATATATTTAGTCAAAATATCCATGAGATGTAGAGTACCTTTAATGCTTTATTTACTTCTTTAATATCTTCCATCTTCAACTTTGATCTGGGGAGAAAAAAAAATAAATTCCCTCTGCATGACTTTACATGTAGCTGTGCTGAATTTTACCCACCATGCTCCCAGCCAGCCACGGAGTCCCAGCTCTCCTCCCTCAGCCGCTCCCTGTTACCGCTCCGCGCCGCTCAGCAGCACCGGGAAGCTCTGCCGCCTCAGGGCTTGCCCCTGGTCGGAATCGTCAGCAGAACGGGAAAGCACAGCTCCGCTGTAAGGACTAAGCACTGACGCTATTGTTTCCTATCTCAGCTGGCTTACTCGGGCAAGGATCTCCCCTCACTTTTACTTCATGGCTGTTTAGTCTCCCATGTTTCCGTCTGAACATGAGGAAGAACTTCTTCCCTCTGAGGGTGACGGAGCACTGGCACAGGCTGCCCAGGGAGGTTGTGGAGTCTCCTTCTCTGGAGATATTCAAGACCCGCCTGGACAAGGTCCTCTGCAGCCTGCTGTAGGTGACCCTGCTTCGGCAGGAGGGTTGGACTGGGTGACCCACAGAGGTCCCTTCCAACCCCTACTATTCTGTGATTCTGTGATTCTGTATAGCATTTGCCTCCTAAAATTCCCAAGCTTATTGGTTTCCGTAACTGGATGCATTTTAAAACCAGCATTACTTCGATACTCCATCCTCCAGGCGACATCACTTGCAGGAGCTCCGCTCCCGGAACTTACTGGCTGAGATGAAGTCCCATTTCTTGCAGAGCTTGCTCCTGCTCCTCACAGACTTTCTCTAACTGCTGCTTCTCATCTTGCAGTTTTCTCAGTTCCTATAAAATCAAGCACAAAATGAAGGTTTTTTTTGAGTGCCAGGTTTCACCTATAACCTAGATGACTCTATCCAAACCACCCAAGCAGTTCACAAGAGTAAGCTCCTTTACAAAGCTACCGATTTCTCAGGCTTGGTATTCAGAATTACGTGGGTGAGCTACCCCTGGGTTCTGCAGAAACAACGAAATGCCTGAACCATATTTACATGAAAGAGAGGAAGATTTTCAGGCTTTAAACATCCTTGAGCAGAGCTGGAACGCAGCAGTCCTGTGCCCACACATGAGCGTACAGATACTGGTGTACAACTGCTCGTCCAGCATCGAAACTGCTCGACTCACAGGAGCAATTTCTCTTGGTATTAATGAGAATGTTCATGCTTAAAAGATGAACCGCATTCAGTTGTTCTGAATGCTTGAAAATGTGGTCCTATTTTGTCACATACAGTTGAAAGAGCTCATGGAGTCGCTGAAAGCTCTGAAGGTGCCACCTCCTGCCTGAGCCGGGCTATCTCACCAGGGGACAGCTGATGGGTGTTTTGCCCCCAGCTCTCCCAGGTCAGCTTCAGCCGCTGACTGACGAGCGGCTCGGACACTCGTGCAGCTAAGGCAGGGCGGACAGAAACCTCCTCAGACACCTACAGCTAAGCTGTTTCCACTGCCTGAGCCCCGTGCTGACATTTCATGTGCAGACTTGAGTCATGTCAGCCAAGCTTCTGAAACCACTTGGAGAGGAGCGGCACAGAAGAAATACTCTACTGCAGATGCAAACCTTGCGCTGGCTCTAAGGCAGCTTTAAGCCAAACCACTGTGCGTACCTTTTTCAGTCCTTCCATTTGCTGCAATTCTGTTTTAAGCAGAGTGGTAGCGTCCTTCTCTTGGTGTAGTTCTCTTTGCAAAGTTTGTCTCTGTTCCTTTTCAGATTTTAACTCCTTTTCCAGAGTTGAGCTATTTAAAAATAATTCATTCTAAGAAACCCTATAGCAGAAAAATATCCTATAGCACTTAAGGATAGCAACAGTATGAGAAGAAGAAACCTTGTCCAAAACAGGGCAACAACTAGAGTGGTGTTCTGGGAAAGGAAAGAACAGGGATGTTATGGCAGCAGACATCAAAAACTATATTAGCATTTTCACATCGCAGAAAACAAGCAGCAATGAATGGCTAGAAGAAAAAAACCTCCACAAAACCAATAAACCAAAACCAATCTCCACAAGCACATATTGGACTACCTGTAGCCACGTTTAAAATGACACTCTACCCTGAAGTCCGAACAGCGAAAGAAGCATTTTCTGTAGGTACCAGAAATCTTCAGAGGATTAACATTCCCTTAGAACACCAGGACGCTCCCTGACCACCAAACTCCTCCAA